TGACGAAGCCTTCTGGATCGAAGGCGAAACGTTTCAGCACAAAAAAAAGAAAGAAACTGTCCAGATGACCAGACTGAAAAATGTTGGATTTTATACCTGGATTATTGAGCATGGACTTTGTTATCCTTTTCTTAGATTTAGTCTTGTGTATGTATATGGGTAAATATTTTGTGCTTTTAAAAAATAACTACAAAAATCTATTATTGAGCTTTTAGAGACAGCAAGTCAACAGTGCCCATAAAGATATTTGGGGTAACATTTGGCACATGCCACAGTATGCACAACAGATTCAGAAACTGACGAGTGGCGGCTCAGACGTGTCAAAGCACTTAAAGGAAAAAAACAAAAACATTGGTGCAACTTTCTTTTTGCTCAGTTATTTTAATGCTTCAGATATTTTCAGCTTGAGGCCCCGTGAACAGTTGTTACAGATAAAACGAAGTCCGGAAATCTCTTTCCCAGTTCTTGTCTTTTTGTTCTTGTCTCCTAGCTTCTTCTTTTCTCTGTCCTTTCTCCCCCCGCTGTAGTTTTACAGCGTTACGATCCCCAGCTGGGAAGTGCGTAACTTTAGCTCGTTTCAAGTGCCCAAACCCCAGACCTTGCTGGTCTCTTTTTAACACGGTAGCCACTGGTTGTTTAGAGCCCTCTCCATCTGGCCCGAGTCCTTCGCCTGGTTTCCAGCCGAAACGAACCATCATCTTGTAGCTGTTGCTGGAGGGGGGGAGGCAGTAGTAGGGGGTGGGTGGAGGATGCTGCGAACTGAACTGATGCAGAGTAGAGGAGCAATGTGCCGAGTGGCTGCTGCTGTACTCGTTGCAACACACATCGCACCACTGGGGCTGTAGAGCACTGCACACATTCAGAGGAGAAAACACAAGACAGAGAACACGTCAGCCATGTTTTCCTCTACTTACATCGCTTTTTAAAATTCTAGTTTGAATCAAAGTGCGTCAGTTCTAACATTAAATAATCTGCATCTATTGACAATTATATATTGGATTTAGACGTAAAGTCAACACTGCATCACTGAATGTATCGTTGCAAAGAGCAACAATACTTACTGATGCACGTTTTCATTCATTTACCATTTTTAGAATGAAAGACACAAGAGGACCAAAACAGTCTCTGACACAGTGGGCTAACTGGGTAGAATTGTAAGTTTTTCCACACTAATGAAGGTTAAAATATTCATAGTATCTTTGAATAATCTGGCTTAAATAAACTACTAATATTGCTTCACATTAGAAATCACTACTTTTATTGAAAATACATAAATCTTGACGTGTAATCTCTTTGAATTACACTTTTGGGTTCTGTTTATTGCATTTATGATTCAATGAAGCAAAATAAACCAATTTAAAAGCGAACACATCGTTATAATACTTGGTTTATTTACATAATGACTTCAACTGCTGGAACTGTGGCCCCCCTGAGCAGTTTGGTTGAATAGCCCAGTCTTACAGCTTGTTCCTGCAGTATGGAGACACAACCCCTGGTGTAAAGTGAACTGGTTTTATCACACTAAAACCCAGAGGTGAACCCAAAGTTGTCTCTCCTAATGAACAATCCCAATCAAGTAGTTTGTAAATCTAATCACCCTTTAAATTGAGACTGAAGTGTCAAGCATGCAGCTTCTGCATCTTCAGCAGTGGCTCAGCATTATTTTTGTTATATAAACACTTATCAGCTGTGTTTGACGTGAAACAGGAACTTACAGATACTCTTGTACTGGCTGCACTATTTCAGCACTACTTCTTTACAGCTATGCTGAATAACAACGACAGCTATATTTTATTAAGGTTATTTATGAACATGGCTAACAGTTTAATATATGAAGATAATTCCCCTCAGACAGGAGTGTGCTAACCTGCAGTCAGACTGCTCCTCTGCTTGTTGAATTCTGCCATAGTTCAACAATTCTTCCAACACTTCTTTATGGCCACCTAGGACAAAAAAAAGATTAATGTAAGAAGGTGAGTTCAGGTTCACACCAATCAAGCACAAAAAGGAAGTGTGAAACACTCATTAGCTAGCTATAAGGTCAATTATGTCTAGAATTGTCCTAGAAGGTTTGGAGAACACAATGGTGGGTTTGAGGTATTGTCTTAACCTCCAGGATTTCTAGATGTTAATTTAACATCTGTGGGATATACTGGAGAAACAAGCCCAAACCATGAACACGGGTAGACATACGGAAATGTTACAGGTTGTCCAGCAGACAACTTCTGGACAGAATCTGGTTGTCTGGTAAAATATTTGGTTTTCTGAAATCTTTACAATAAAGGCAAAAATAAAAATCTCAAGCTAATTTTAATTTAATAAGTATGTCGCACTATATACACATGTTCTCGGTCGGCCATCTTGTGGACTGCTTACAATCTCAAAGCTACTGAGTGGTGGACTTCTAAAGGAGCTGCTCAAGTTCTCCTCATCCTCTTCCTCTTCATTAGACTTGGCAACAGAGAGACTCGCAACGTATTTAAGGCAGAGATTAAAACAGAAAAAAAAATACATGTTTTTCTACACCCATTAGTCCCCCAAGCGTCATGCACAAGTTGCACATCTGTACAATGATGACGATGCTCCAAACACATTAATGTTTACTACAATGTTAGATTTTAGATACTAAAGTCCCGGAGAGGTCGGGGCATGGTGCGGGAGGATGGGGTGGGGGGGGTGGTGGTAATGGTGTTTCAGTTCTGGGATCTCCCCTGGCTGCAGTGAACTGGTCATGTGCGAACACGTTTAATACGTAGATGTTTATTAATTTATTACGTCATCACCTTCGGTTAGGGTAGAGATGTGTCCTCTTTGGAGAATAGTACAGGAAACACTGATTGGTGCTTTCAATTGCAGTCTCTGTCTAAGGTGGGAACACTGTGCACACCCGCTGTGCATCACACAGCTCGACCCGCCCTGCTCTGACTGGGTAAAACTATAGGCCCTTATGTAAGACCCAGCATGGCCCAACCCAGATTCTGTCCCAGGTTTTGAGTGTTGGCACTGGGCAGTCTAGCCCAGTTCCAGCTCAATTTTTGGAACCCAGTGTGCTGTGGTCGCATTTGGACTGAGATGGTGCTGCAGATTTGACTTTAGCAGATGGCTGGCCATTGAATGATTCACTGGTTCGGGGGTGTCACCTCACAGATGAGTCATGCTTCACGCGACTGCTCCTTACTGCCATTTCCTTCTGCTACTTGCTTCTGGACAGTTGTGTGATAAGAGAGAGCTCCTATGTATCTTTAAAAATAAATGGCATTGCCAAAGATTATCACCAGTGCTCTGGAGAAACAATGAGGTGCATCTAATGCTGAGCTGAGACTCGTGGAGTCTTGCTTGCTATGATGGTCCTGTCCACATTGATGCGGCACTCTGCTGAAAGCAAAGAAAACCAGAGCCGGGGAAGAACGGGGCTGGTCCAGGCTTTGTAAAGCAAACGTCTACCCCTGATGAAAGTCACACTTTATGTACCAGTTGCCATAGGCTTGGTACCAGACACCCCAGCAGAACTGTAGAAGTAAATCTATACGTATATTTGACTGATCGGAATTGTTTAAGCTTCAAAATGGGGGACTAATTAATGCCGCTGTGCCAATGGTAAGTGCCGCTCCACTTGTTCCCCTTTTCTCAGTTCTCCTCAGGTGAAGGTGATTTGCCACTACAGTGGAGGCTGACCTGTTTCCCAGATCTGTGAGCGGGATCATAACTGGTCTTTTCTGTGTTCAAGCCACTCCGCTCGTTGTGATGCTTAATCACTATAATTGGACTTGAATTTCATCAGCTTATCTCTACACTGTTTCGCTTAAAAATCCAGGTGCAGCCATGCTGCTCCATCATCTCTGATATCTCGGTAAATGCGCTCATTTCTCGTGGTGCCGTCCCTCAACGCGATGAGGAAGTGGAGATGTTCAGATGTAGTTTGCAGAGCAGGATATAGCTTCGCTGGCCAATCAACGGCTGCTGTTTGCTTACGTCAAAATTGGCTCCTTGGAGCAGCCCGCTTGGAACCATGATTAAGGTGATCCCATAAACCGGGCTGAGTGAGGTGGGTACCAGCAATGGCAGACCTCAACTAGTGCCATGTCATGTTGAGCCAATGATGGTTGAGACAGTGGCAAAGTGCCATAAATACTAGCTGTGAGGCCATACTGTTACGGTTAATAAATGTATATATTTCCAATTGCCTGATGTTACCTTCCAGCGCCAGGTCCTGTGCATCCCTGCCCTGTGCGTCCACCACTCCAACCCAGGCTGCACCATGATCCAGCAGCAGCCTGACAGCAGCCCTTTGTCCTGACCAGCTGGCACACATCACAGCTGTCCAAAGAAATGTATCCTGGGAACCAAAAACAAACAAAACAAAAACATTATGTAAATGGAATCATCATCATTTCTGAGTTTAAAATTAAAACACTGAGTACTCCACCTGGAAGTTTATGTCGACCCCTTTAGACAGCAGCTCTTTGAGTTCAGAGATGTCCCCCTCATGAGCACAACGCAGCAACTTGAGGCCCAGCAGCTCCATGGACCTTTCTGACATGTTCACCTCTCTGCTCTGGTGTCCATCATTTTCAACAGCACGTCCTCTTTGAAGCTGCTGCTGTTCTTGTACAGCTCTGACCCGACGCTCTCTGCCTTTAGCTTTATTTAATCTTCTTGATTTACCTTGCACTTTGTTGTCTTTCATCAAATCTTCATAGAACTGCCTGGCCTCTTCTCCGCTAAGTTTGCAGTTTAATTTAGACCCAGAATGGCCTGGTCGAATACTAAAAGCATCAGGCTTACTGGCAGGAATGAAACCTAAAGAAGCCATTACGAGCGACTAGCATCCGGTTTTTTTCCTTCAGTTTTAGAAAAAAACAAATGTTGTTATAATACTCCTAGTCCAAGTAAGCCTTTTAAAAAAATCCATTTGATTATAATATCACGAAAATATTAATCAGACTTGTCACGTCAGGAGCCTGAGCTAAATGCTACCTAGCGTTAGCATTAGACCCACAAATACTTGTCCGCTGGCTAGTGAACGAACACTTCCGGTGATGGATCCTTAACAGAACCCAAGTAGCTTCAATAAAGTCAAAATTAAGACATAAGCAATTTACCTAAATCAGCAAAAACAACAACAATGCAGTTCAGGACTTCGAGTTCACTCGTAATGCTAATCATCGCCTTGTTTATTCCGGAAGTCTTCTACGGTTTTATTTAGCGGTTTGCAGACTATTTGGAGTTTTACCGCCACCTGCTGGTTGGAGGTGTGAACTGGAATGGCGCTCAAAAAATAAAATCAATCCATCCATACGAATGAAGCAAAATAAAATTTTAATAAACAAGTACATTATTCCAGAAGTCAAAGTTTGACACAAACATTGAATGCTGCCACCTATCGGACTGGATGTTTAATCCTCCTTAAGTTTCACAGAAATCTTTTATGGTAAAGAAACAAAAAGCAATTATTAAAAAGGCCAACTTAATAAATTGTTCTTATAGGAGTTTATATTACCATTGATAAATAAATAATGTGTCAACATATTACTTTTAATCTATTTTCACTAGTTGCAAGTAAGGAAAATAAAAATTGTAAATCCTTAATTGTTTAAAGCTAAGAACTGTTGCCTCCTTCCATCATTAGAAGGGTCTGTGAAAACATAAAGGGCAGATTTTTAATACATAAGTTATTCTTTCTGTACAGATTAATTTTTTAAATCAGTTTCTTGGACTTTTGGCCATTACGCTTTTGTTCTCTGTGCCTGTTTCCCACTCAGGCCTGCTATAATAATAAAATGCATTTTTTTTAAGTGTCTTACAAAACAGATAGCAATGATATACAACTATAACTGTTTTAGGGTCAGGCAGTTACAGCCCACATGTGGACGTTTGAACTTTAACTTGAATGAACTGTTTAATTATCTGCCATTAGGTAAAATTGTATTTGTAGCCAAATTTTTCTTTAATTACAACTTGTACTGATTTTATTTTCAGTTACTTTTATGTAACTTTTTTCCTTCTTTCAGCTGCTCCCTTCTTCAGAGGTCACTACAAATATTCAGTTTATCTTTGGGGCAAATCTCAGAAACGAGGAACTACACTCCAGGTTGAGATGATGTCCTCCTCACATTTCCTTACATATTAATAAACTCAATGCAGAAACTGGGTGAGTAAATGACAGTTTAATTTTCATGGCACTTCTCTAAACATATTTACAAAACACTTACAAACAAAGGCCCAATGGAAATATCAAAATTATTCAAACTAAACTAGTATGATGAAAACAAATGCTGATAAAAAAAAACACATTTTTTAACATGTGTTCATTGATCATTTGTTTTCATTTTACCAACAATCATCCAGTTTGTGAGACGAGGCAGTTTAACATAAAGCTTAATGAAAAGGAAACATCAGGCACAAGATCTGAGAAATATGAGCAGCACAAAAATAACCATTAAACACAGCTTATGTTTGTTTGTCCATACCGACTTCTTTATAGGAGTCATTAAAGTGGACAGGGAACAGTGCAACATCTCCTAAATGCTTCTGAGAACACGCAACACATTTCAATGTTAAGTATTGTGACAGCAGAAAATAACTAAGCTTAAAAAGGTCAAAGCTAAACTGACCAAAAAATTTTTTGCTACACTAAGTTGAGTGTAAATACATATTTACTGTCCTTAAAAGTTACATTCTGCTAACAGATTGGAAACACCAGGTTTTTATACATATAAACATGTAAACAAATATCTAGATGAACGCCTTCAGCCTACAAAGTTATACCGTTTAACACGCTAAAATCAGAACACGGTGAAATGGACCTGCCATCCTGGTACTTGGGGACCACTGTCCTGCACATTTGAGATGGTTCAGATTTAAAAAAGGGTCATTAAAAGGCTTCTGCGGAAGTTGATGGCACGCTGAGATAATTCAGTCATTTAAAGCAGGTGTGATGGTGCAGGAAAACATCTAAAATCATGCAGGGTTTGAGGAATAGAACGGGGGGGGGACTCTAGAGCAGGGATATTCAACTGGCGGTCTGGGGGCCAAATCAGGTTGAGCTCAGTTCGGCCCACCAAGGTGTTTATTTTTAAATAAAACTAGATTTTAAACCATAAAACAAACTTGCTTAATGACAATAACTGCTGGATGTCTGGCCCCCTGAGCCAGTCTAGTTGAATAGCCCTGATCTAGAATCTTTGAGAAAAGCCATTCAGTGCATTTATTATAGAGCAGCTCTGAGGTTCAAGGGTTTCATGTTGGCTGCTTCTCATCAGCATCAAGTGCTTTATGCAAATTGGGACAGATCAGAGCTGAATTAGTCACAAATGCCCAACAAAACATTTCAACTATATATTTTAATGTATGTGAAAGTTTTTGTTCAGTGCCTTGAGACAACTTATGTTGGAACTTGGCATTATAAAAATAAACTCAATTGTTTTGAATCTAAAATGAAGACAGACAGACATATTATGGGAAAAATTTGTCTTAATATAAAGAAACTGAACATTTGCCCTTTAGGGTATAACCCTTTGGTCAAAATGACCCTCAAGGCCTGTTTTTGACCTAAGGGCAGCAGGAGGGTCAATCTGTTTCAGGGAAGTGGCACAGCTCGTATTAATCTGTTTACTGACAAATGAACCCATCAACCCTAGAAAACACCAGAGAGATGACCTACTCTAAGTTTGATGAGGTCATGCTTCCAGTATAATTCAGCTTTTCCTCAAATAACACGTAATGAATCTAAATGCATTCCTAACGCTTACAACGGCTGCAAACATGCAAAACACTAATGTGCTCATTCAGTGAAAACTAAAACTTCACGTCGGTTATATCACTAAAGCTATTTTCTGATAATGGGTGAAATTTGCTGATGTGTCTGTTTCTGTCCCCCGTCTGTGTAAATGACTGTCCACAGTGGGGACAGGTAAATGGTCTCTCCCCCGTGTGCGTCCTCATGTGAACGTTCAGCTTGTCTTTGCTAATGAAGCGCTTGTTGCAGCAGGTGCACGCGTGCGGCTTATCTCCTGTGTGGTAGCGCTGGTGCATCTTCAGCTCCGTCATGCGTCCGTAACTCCTTCCGCACTCTGGACAGTCGTAGCTGGGTCGCTTGTCCATGTGCTGCCTGCTGTGCAGCCGCAGTCCGCTGTTTGAGCTAAAGCTTTTACCGCACTGCGAGCACCGGAAAGGTTTTTCTCCGGTGTGGATGAGGACGTGCAGCTTGAGGCTGGCGGCCGAGGTGAAGCCGTTCCCGCAGATGGAGCAGAGGTGAGGTCTCTCACCGTTGTGGATGGTGAGGTGTCTCTCCAACTTGTCCTTGTTCAGGAATGTTTTGCCACAGATGGGACAGGTCTCTGGCAGCTCCCCTTCATGTAAACTCATGTGCTCAGTGAGCTCAATCAACGTGGTGAAGGCATAGACGCAGCGAGTGCACGAGTAGGGCCTCTCCTTCTTGATTTTCCTGTGTTTGAGGGAGTGTTTGTCCAGCTCCGCCTTCTCCTCGAACGTTTCGATGCAGCAGCTGCACTGGTGAGGCCGCTCTTCCATATGAGTCCGCAGATGATATTTAAAGGCGGTTAGCTTCAAAAAGACAGCATCGCAGTGTGGACATCTGGATTCTCGTCTGTCGTGGACCATTAGGTGTCTCTTATAGTGAGTCACTTTGAAGAAGTGCTTGCGACAAGTCGAACAGTAATACTGCTCGTTTTGGTGGCTTTGTTCATGTTTCTTCAGCGCGTACTCGACCTTGAACTTCTTCCCACAGGTGCTGCAGGGGTAAATTTTGTTATGGACCACCATGTGCACCTCGAGTTCTCCTGCGCTGTCGAAGGTTGCGTTGCATTTCGGACAAGTCCCGCTGTTTTCTTTCGCGTGAATCTCCAGATGTTTGTTGAGGTCTTCTGGGAACAGGAAGTTCTTCTGGCAGTCGGGGCATGTGTAAAAATCAGCGTTTGCAGCTTTGCAGTGGCTCATCACGTGTCTTTTTAAATGGTATAAGCGACCAAACTCTTTGTCACAATCGCTGCATTTGAGGTTTCCAGGTTTGGACTTAACCTTCCTGTGCAGCTTCAGGTGGCTCACGAGCGCGGCTCTCCCTTTGAACTGCTTATCGCACGCCAGGCACGTCAAACCATCAACAGCGTGGGTTTTTCGATGCGTTTTCAGGTCCAGCCACGTGCTAAAGCTCTTCCCGCATTTGGCGCAGACGTGTTTTCCGAGGTCGTGCTGGTTCCTGACGTGTCGGGTCATGTGGTAGGACTGGCTGAAAGCCTTAGTGCAGACTGGGCAGGTGAACGGTTTCTCCTTGGAGTGAGTCCTCATGTGGCGAGCCAGTTTGGCCGGACCTCTGAAACACTTGTTGACGCAGACAGGACAGAAATGGCCTTCTGTTTTTGACACGACCTGATTCTTGCATCCGTCTTCCTTAGGTGTTGCTTCGTCAGCGCTCTCATCTGCAGGCGAAGCCTGAACTTCAAATTCTTTACCGTCAGCATCAGCAGCTAAAGAGGCGGCACCAGCATCAGCTTCAGTCTTTACTTGGATTCCATCAACCTGATGAAAATGTCGATGGTCTGTTTGAGAAGACGAGTCGTTGGCGTGACTACAAAGCTCATCTTTGTTGGTGGATTGTTCATTACAATCCGGGCTGAACACAACTTGGGACTTGTGTGTGTTCTTGTGGCTTGCCAACTCAGCACAGCTTGTAAAGCTCTCCCTGCACGTAGGGCAGAAGTACTGGCCCCCGTTGTGCTGGTTCCGCATGTGTCGGGTCATGTGGTATGACTGGCTGAATTTCAGATCGCAGCACGGACAGATGAACGGCTTCTCTTGCGTGTGACTCCTCATGTGTCGAGCCAGTTTGTCTGGGCCTTTGAAATGCCTGTTGACACAGAGAGGACAAACGTGTCTTCTTGTTTTAGTCTTTGAGGATGTCGCCGGAGCGCTTTTCTTCCCTGCTTTTCTAGATGTGCTTTTGGAGTTCCTTTGTCCTGTCGCAGGCTGAAACTCAGATTCTGCAGCGTTTGAATCAGCATCAAGCACTTCTTCCTCTTTGGTTTCTTTGACGTCAGCCTGTCGGACACTCTGACCTCCATGTCTGTGCGTCTTGACGTGACTACAAAGATCATCGTCGTTGCTGAATCTTTCGTTGCAGTCGGGACAGAACAGAACTTGGCACTTGTGTGTCTTGTTGTGTTTTAGTAAGTCCGCAAAGCTTTCCAGGCTTTCTCCACAGACGGAGCAGACGAACTGGCCTGCGGCGTGCAGGTTCCTCATGTGTCGCGTCATGTGATCGGGCTGGCTGAATCTCATTTCGCAGATGGGGCAGGTGAATGGTTTCTCCTTCGTATGAATCCTCATGTGTCTGGTGAGCCTGTCTGCTTTGTTGAAGTGCTTGATACAGAAGGGGCAGTACAAACCTTTCGTTTTAGTCAAAGGAAGGACATGTCCATGACTGTTGATGTCCTCTTTTGTCATTCTAAATGTTGATGAGGTGTCATCATCACCTGCTTTACTGCGATCCAGATTCTCCACAGCCTGAGATCTATCTCGACCATTACTGTGGTCGTTCTCATCCTCGTGTCTAGTTGAAGCGGTTTTCCTCACAAGTGGCTGCGTTTTATTCTTTTCCTCCCCACGACGAGGCCTACCTCGTTTGCGTTTCACCGGTACTTGAAGAGCCTGCTGAGAGCTTCCGCCCTCCGTTGGAGACGTCGAGTTATTTGTGTGCGTCTTGATGTGAGTAGAAAACTCATCTTTGTCGGTGAACAGTTCATAGCACTCTGGACAGAACAGAACTTTGGATTTGTGCGTCTGATTGTGTATCCTTAATTCGGCCAAGCTTTCGTGGCTCTCCCCGCAGGTGGAGCAGACGAACTGGCCTGCGTCGTGCTGGTTCCTCATGTGTCGGGTCATGTGGTAGGACTGGCTGAATCTCATTTCGCAGACTGGGCAAGCGAACGGTTTCTCCTGCGTGTGTGTCCTCATGTGTCTGTTGAGCTTGTTCACATTGTAGAAGCATCTGTTGGAGCATAAGGAACAGCAGAGGGCTTGTCGTTTGGTTGAAGAGAGGACAGTGCTTCCACTGTTGCCGTCTTCCTCCATTCTTCGTAATGTCGAGGTGCTGCTACGATCATTTACTTCATTGCGATTATTCTCATCCACGGCTTGGAGTTTATCTTCACCATCACTGTAATACAGCTTATCGTTACTGTAGTAGTAGTCGTCTTTGAGCGTAGATGAGTTTGTTTGGGTTTTAGTCACTTGTGGCTTTACTTTAACCCTTTCCTCCCCACGACGAGGCCTACCTCTTTTGCGCTTTATTTGAACAGGGGGCTCTAAATACTCTTCAATGTCTACATTGACCTCGTGAAAACCAAGCACAGAATCATTTAAAACCATTTCCAGCTCTTTAGCCATCGCCAGCGCTGAGGAGAAGGTCAGAGTCTCTTTTCTCATCAGTAACATCTCTCTGAGCTGCAGATTGTTGGTTTTCTCAATCAGCTGCTCCAGTAGAAGTTTTTCCTTTATGCTTCCATAGTTACAAGGTCTCAGCAGTTCTTCCAGTGCCGAGACAAACTGGTCTACAGTCTCTCCAGGCATCTGAACCCTTTGGTGGAACTTAAGGTGGTGCACTTGGGAGGCATGGTCGAGTCTGAAATGGTCGGTCAGCGCTGAAATGGCAGTGGTGTATGTAGTGTCACTCTTGAGCAGAGTTGAGAAGACGTGCTCTCCCTCTGAGCCGAGGGAGTTCCGTAAAAGCATCAGCTTAGTGGAGTCGGCCAGCTCCTTTTCATCAAGAGCATGAATGTAGTGTTCAAAAGCTTTGAGCCATTTCAGCCACAGCATGGGTGGCTCACCTGGGTACGGTAGGAAAGGTGGAGGCGGAGAAAGGATTATAAGCAGCGGTTCTGGAAGAGGTTGTAAAGTGATGCAGTCTTTCGTCTCCTCCAAATCCACCAGTCCACTAACGTCACACATGGTTACTTTGTATGTTCTGCTCACAGCAGGTAAGTGATGCTCCTTGTTTGAATGAATGAATGAAGCGTTGAGTTAGGATGACATCATTTGCAGGTCTTCAAACTCCAGATGTTTCTCGTCACTCTGGACGACTTTTGGAAACTGCAAAGAAAAAACAAAGCACCTTTTAAATCAGCTTAATCTTAAAATAAATCTTAATCCAATATAACTGCAGCTTTGTTACAAATATGTGCATTATTATACTGGATGTTTTTTTTTCTGTCTGCTTCCTTTTGCAGGTGTCACCACAGCAAACAAAGTTGCATAAAACACTTGACAATTATTTTATGCCGTACATCAGTGGTTCCCAACCCTGGTCCCTGAAGAACACCATCCTGCATGTTTTAGTTGTTTCTCTGCTCCGACACACCTGATTCAGTGATTTAATTACATTCTCAAGTTCTGCAGAAGCCTGTTAATCACCTATTACTACAAAATACAGGACAGCGTTCCTCGAGGACCAGGGCCGGGAACCACTGCCGTACATCCTTCATGAATCAATCGGGAATTGAACCACAGCACTGACTACTGAGCCACCGCGGCCCAAGTTATTTTGGAAAATGCACATTCTTACAAATACTATCACATCACAGCTGAGTTTTGTTTTCTAATCTTACTATACTTTTGACAGATATGTCTATAGAAATTTCAATATAAACACCTCCCAGTAAACTTAGTGAAAACATTTAGCTCTGATTTCCAAACTTTTTTTCATTGTTGCACAAACACAAACATATCTAAAAAAAAAAACTAAAAAAAAAACTGTTTAATGATGATAAAAATGACACTTTACATTTTACGAATTAAACAAGCCTGAGTATTATGGATGAATGGATGAATAACAGTGACACACACACAGACACACTTTGGACCATTGTTAGAGCAAAATGTCTTTATCAAACCTAGCTGAATTCAGGACTATTCAGTGTTTTTCAAAGTGGGGGCTGTGGCCCCCTGGGGGCCGCTAGGAGGGCCTCAGGAAGCTAGAGAAGAAGATAAAAAAAAAGCACAATTACAAAAACTTATATAGTTTTAATTACTGTAATAAAATCAAATCTATTTTTCAATAAGTATTTAAAATTATATTTTATAATAATAAAATAATTTTCACCATGCTCATCTTTCTGATTGGCTGCCAATCAGATGTATCAAGCTGCTTTACTCTGCAAGCTAGCATAGCAAGGACGAACTGGAGAAGTGTCTAAAAAGACCAAAAGACCCGACCAGCAGCCCTGCTGTGGTGGAAACTGCTGCAAAAACAACAGCAAAGAACTCGTGGCTTTAAAGCTACTTGAAACAAAACATGGACAATGACATGCGTATGGCACTGACAAACTGTAGGAACCACCAAGCCCATTCCTCCCACTAAGCAATCTGTATCTGTCATTTCCAGATACTGTAGATTTTTGTTCTGTTCTTCTGGTCAACAGTTTGTTGAAAAGTTGTTGTTTTTTTTTCAGTGGGAATATAACACAGTGTTTAAAACATGTTGGTTAATAACATTTTTATGCTGAGCAGCTGTAATAATTAATTGGATATAGTGAATAAAAGTTAAAACATTCTAAAAGTTGATGTTTCTTTACATATTTTGTATCATTATTTGTAGGTTTGCGAGACGGGCCTCAGCCAGAAGCTAATGCTGATTGGGGGGGCCATGGCATGGAAAAGTTTGGGAACCCCTGCTCTACATCAGGAGTCAGTTTCAAGGACCTTGTCATTTTATGTGGCCTGTGAGAGCTTCAAGGATGTAAGGTAGTCTTAAAATAAGCACATGCCACTTTAAAGGCAGCATTCACAATAAATTACTGGTAGATCGCTAATGCATGTTGATATTTTACCCATGAAATGACGGCATTCCACCACTAGTGAAGGTGTGTCCATAAAAGTGTATTCAACAAAGAAGAATCCGTCCAGAGGGCCCGATTTAACCTTAGATATACACAAGTGTTTAATTACTGTAGTAATGTATGGGCCCCAATTCCAAATAAAATGAGAAAATGTCCGGTGAAAAACTGATGCAGGTAAAAGACAGTTTCAAGAAAGATGAGAGGTTGAATATCTGTTTGTACTTTAAGGAGAAAGACCAGTATGTATTATCCCCGGGGAGATTACATCGCTGCCCACTGCTCCACCGGGGTGTATCTCACGTGTGTGATGGCTTAAATGCAGAGAACTCATTTCAACATACGACGACACCACAGCACTTTTTACTTGGGTGTAGGCTACGCCCTCTGCAAAGCGGTGGGCAGTAATTTTATTTCATGAAATGCTTTATTTAATTGCCACAATTGTTCTTATCAGCTCACTATTGTTGGTTATAACATTGTTCTCCTTTCAACTGTGACAAAAAAAAAAAAAAATGCAACAACGTTAATGTCATAACTTGTGTTTAGTGATATTTTTGTTAAATAGTTTGATCGGTGATTGATGGAGCAATGTGGGCTTCTTAATCTGACGAATCAAAAAATATTTACGTTATAACAGCAATAAGCTAAAATACATTTTACAACTGCAAATGAATTATGTAATATCTGTCACTTGAATAATTAATAAATATAGACTTTTTTTGTTATGTTAGTTCTTTTTATCAAAAATAATTTAATACAATAAAATAATAAAAAAATTATTCATTCATACCTATCTACTCACTACAGACTCATGTTCAGGCTGCTGTTTAATATACCGTATTATTTTACATTATTAGTGTTTAGCATATCAGATCTTTTATAGTGTATTGTTTAGTGCATATCTTAGATCCTTACTGTTTCTTTATATATTTTTGCTATTTTTGAGTGAAACTGGGACCTTGAGTACACGGTTTAGTTCCACCTCATGTACCTCATGATGCAAATGACAGGAAAGAAATACTTGCACTTTATGCTACATTGTATTTAGTTAAATATGGTCATTATAAATGGCATTTGAGGACAACCATGATGCTCAGGTGAAAAAGTTTGACACCCCTGCATCTTTATTTCCCCTCAAATCATGATGCATTCACTGTACCTCTCTGATATGTAAAAAAAAACAACTTGCTCCTTTTGTTACTGAATTCTGAAATACATTTGGCAAACAACAATATGGAAGTAATGGACGAAGAGTTAGTGGAACATCAGAAAACAGACCTCGGCTCTGGATCTTGTTCCAGACACATCTGAACATGAATGGAAGGTGAAATGGGGGCCCCTCAGAAAATGGCCGCGCTGCGCCTCTGCGCTCCCAAACTGCTCACCGTTATACGGAGTGTGGGGACTGTTTCCGGCCGAAGCTGGCTCCACATTTAACAACCTCCACAGGACTTATCGGACTTTATGCATGCAGAGAAAACAAAAGAGCTACGATGAATAAAACCACCCGACAGAGAGTAGACAAAAAAACTCACCACCAAAACAGGAGGGGGTCACAACAAGTCACGACGAGCAGCTTCCGCTCCGAGCCGCTGCAGCGACTCTGAACATGGGGCCCTGCGGGTCTTTAATACCCGCAGACTGATGCTGCGATATTATCCAGTCATGCTAAGTTAAAACACGGATCATTTCATGGAAAATGCACCCGACATTCTGAATGCACTTCTTCCGGACACCAAAGCAGCTCCCCGGGGTTCGTGTCTCCGCCCCACAGCGACCCCTGCTGGCCGGGAGCCGCAAGCAGCCAATGACTCCATGTGGCACACTTGAACGAAAATCAGTACAATATTAAAATTAATATGCAATTATTAAATGGACAAAAATCACGTTTTGTGTCTTTAAATTGCTTTTTAAAAAAAATAATTCTTCAATATTATTATTAGTGTGTGGTGTTTATTTTTCTCATAAATTTTACTTCCATTGATGTTTTTGTTAAGCACTTTGATAGTTTCTCTATAAATAAAGTTGACTTACTTGTTCAATGTCTTTTTAAACTGTTTTCAGCTTTATTTATGCAGGTTAGTCTCAGTGAATCACGAGGACTCATTTTCAAGGGAGACGCATTTTAGACAGATGACACATAAAGTACAGACAATTTGACAAAAAAGCAATTAAAATCAAATAAAAGTAGTTACAAACACAGTCAAATCAAGGTGCCATATAAAACAAGGTAAAATACTAAAAACTAGGGGTGCACCTGACCTGGCGATTCCAATTTTGTTTTATAAGCGACACTGTCAGGTGTTATAAGGTCACAATGCACCTTCAATTTTCCATCTTATTTTATTGAAAAACATACCCTTGAACAATATCCTAGAAACAATACAAACTTGTTTTAACTGTAGTGCTCTGAAATATAAATGAAGTTTAAATAATTGTTGTTAAAACTTAAAAAAAAAATCGGTTTCTCATGTAAGTATCGACCGATCTCTGATCTCCCCAAATTAAGGAAATCGGGGCCAATAAATCGGTGCACCCCTCTTAAAAGCAGGAGCATATTTGCTTTGATATTTCTATTGACATTATCAAATGTTTAAAACCCCTTAAATATATCAAAGTGGACAGTTTCAAATCTTTTTGCAAGGTGTTCCAGGTTACAGGAGCAGAGCAAGAAAAGGCCTTTTTGATGAGTTCAGTCCGCACAGAGCGGACGCTGCAGGTAATTGTCTTGAGAGCGCACGCTGTAACTGCACTGATGTACATGTGGGAGGAAATATATGAAGGCAGCAGACCAAGGAGTGATTTATAGATGAAAATGAGTCCGCGTGAAGTTAATAAAATATGTTAATTTGCTTTAATATCATTGTAGTTTTCTTCCCACACTCACTACAGGTTTATTGTTGTTAATTCTTTAAGAAGCACTTTCAGAGAAGACACAAGAGATTATTAACTGGATCACTTGAGCTGAGCAGGAAACATGCATCAACGTTCACTTGTTCATGAAACTTGTCCTCATGGCAGTATATTTATATAGTTTACTGTTGGATTGTTACTATTTTTGCAGGATGGTGTTATTACGATCCTTCTGTCTGCGCTGGTCAAAATGTTTTTGGGATGTGGAGTGGAAAAAGCTTATAGCTACTAAAAATAGGCTGCTGCAAGAAAGTCTGAACGTGTTCTCTCGGTGCCAAGCATCCACAATAAAGACAAATTCATAAAGAAGAGGGCAGAAATGTTTTCAAAAGGTGCAGTCGGGAAGTTTTTCATTTGATTTAGCAACATAAGATCAGCTAGACTGGAACATAACACCAGTTAAACACAGCAGCTGAAGTTGTTTCAGACTGATTTTTATTTTTAGTAAAGAGGATTCAGGAGCTTTTAGACGTGTCAAACTCAAGGCCTGCTGGCCAAATCTGGCACTTGTTAATCTTTCTGGTCTCCAAGATAACATTTGAAATATAGTAAATTTGAGACGGTTTCTATCACTTCTCGTTTTGTTTAAAAAATGAGCACGCTAAGTGCAGACTTTTCATGACAGCTAACTTTAAAGCCAAGAAAATAAGCTGGACTTTTCAGTAATCTTTTATTCTGTTATCAAGCTCCTCTCTTGTGGAACCAACTTCCAGTTTCTCTCCACGAGGCCGACATCCTTTCCACTCGAGATAAGCTTCATTCCTTTTTGATAAATCCTATAGTTAGGCTTGGGTTTCCTGATCTATTCTTTAGTTATGCTGCTATAGGCTTACTTGCTACTGTTCATGTTTTTAATTGTAATTATTTCCTTCATGAACATATTTTTCTTTGTTTTTCTCACCATAGAAAATACACCTGGACCAGTCGTTTATCTGTCTCTTTACACTTCTCTAACCCCAGCCAGTTGAGGCCGATGGGCGCTCATCTTGAGCCCGATTCTGCTGGAAATTTCTCCCGGTTAAAAAGGAGTTTTCCTTTCCCAATGTGTTACTCAGGATGGGGGATTGTGACAAAGTGAAGATGTAACAATCTGCTGGCTTCCATGGATACATATATTTTTTTTTACTAATGGACATGTTATAATGGACACTATGTTGTTGTAGTGCACTGAGATCATGTTTTTTGTGTAGACTCGATTGATTTTGACGTGGAAAGGACAACAGAGAAAAGTTTAATGAGACGGATCAAACTCTTGTTGATCAGTCAAGAAAAGATGTCGAGTACTGACTTAACTTGTGTCTGAATAAGAGCCTGGTCCTAAAGAGAGCCCATGTTCTAAACTCAACATAAAATATCACTGGGAAAAAAAAGTCTTTCTATACAAATAATTTTACTTAACAATAGAAAACAAGAGTAATATATAAATATATATAAATGAGTGACACCTAATGTAAACTCCCTCTGTACAGGGGAGCTGTGGTGAGGATCAACCATTGAGTTTGGGTGTCCTCATCACTGAGGGTCTCTCCTGAACTGGCAAAACCACACACCTCATCAAGAAAGCTGTGCAGAGGGTGCACTTCTTTAGAAGCCTGAAACGTAGAATCCTCCCTTCATCCTCACATCTTTTATCAAAGCACTGTTGAGAGCATCCCCCACAGCTGCATCACATCCTGGCATGGTAACTTCAACATGAACGGGACTATCAAGCTCCATTAACTACACCAGTGATATTCTGCTTACACGCTGAAGCCAACTTAAACAACTTAATAAATACTGGAAAAATTATATAAAAACGTAACTTTTTAATACATAATAAATCCTGAGCATGCATCAGGGTATTTTTAATACATACTTTAAAATGCAAATGTTTGAGCCACTTTAACGCCCACATGATCTTTCAGTCATTTATTAATAAGCTACGTACATAATTGTAAAAGTCTGTGGGGAAAAATAGGAGCAGGCCTGAAAACTGTATACACCATTTAGCAAAAGCAACTAGATGAAAATGATTTTAGTTGTAAGATGTTTGAGTGTTTTAAGCATACAATCATGTTTTCATCCATCATCTTTACCTGCGCCTTCTTCCTGGGTTGTACACACATTATCTTAAAGCAGGGCTGTTCAACTAAACCGCTCAGGGGCCACAGTTTCTGAAAGCCAGCAGCTCAGGGGCCGGACATCCAGCTATTAAAGTCATAATGTAAATAACCAAGTATTACAATGATCTGTTACCTTTTAAATGTTTTATTGCAGCAAATCTGCTAATGCAATAAACAGAACCCCAAACCCAGACGCCCCCCCCACCAAAAAAAAAAAAGACATCATTGGTGGGTCAGATTGAAGTCACCCGTGGGCCAGAAATGGACCATGGTCCACCAGTTGAATAGCCCTTAAAGCATTCTTTAAAATGATGCGTTATTAATGATGCAACAACGCGTCTAATTCCACCTTTGTATGAACCGTTGTGCACGAGTGCAAAGTCCAGCCTTGAGCTAAGATGTAGAAGAAAAACCTTTTCAGAGCTCTTTTCTTAATTCCTTGCCAGACATGGAGATGGCTTCACAAGGCTTCGGAGAGCTTTTTAAATCTTAAGAGGACACAACCCAATTCAAATTCAGAGGAAATTAGGTCTTTGACGGCAGAGATTCAGATAATTTAAGTTGGATCTTTCCTTCACTCAGAAACTTTTAATTACTGACACAAAACCAGGAAACTTCATTCTAATTTACTGTACGTGAAGATGAATAATACATGTATGTTCCCCATGACTGATCTGTTTGACATATAAAAGTAGGGGGGAACATTTTTAAGAGTAATTTATTCAAAAGTTTCATCATATAAACATAAAAAAGTCACAGTAGAAGGCTGTCATGGTTTTGTTTGAATAAAGGATCTTCAACTATTTTCACCTTAAAGCAACTGAACAACTTGCACCACATTGAACTAGTAGGTGTAAAACACAGTTTGTTTCGGTTGAATCAAAGCTTAAATCATTTATGGATTCATCTTACCTGGACGTCCTTGAATGCATCCTCTTATATTTGGAAACGTATCACACACACACACACACTGAGCAGAACGATAAAACACACCCTTCTTCAAACCAACACAAGCAAGCCTCAAAACTCTAGACAAATATATTTGTTGTACTTTTACATGTGCAGTTCTGCTAGTGTCACAGATGTTCTGAAGCCAACACAAACTAAGACACTATTATAGAATGATATTGTTTATTCACACTGTATGAGGCTCAAAACAAGCGTGACAGAGTGAAGGATGCTGCTGGCCAGCCAAGGAGCCTACACATCATACATGAGCAAAAACTTGGAGGTGTTTGCAGTTGAAGAGAAGTTCAGAGTCGACCTGGTTGTTCCTGGATGTCAGCGCAAGGTTCAGATTGTGGAGCTTCATAGTTCAAAGTTTAATTATACACAAGCAGAGCAAGGAAAAATACTTTTAAATAGCTTGCAAACCTACTCTTTTCTCTCCTCTGTGATTTTTGTAAAACTTTTGCCTCCTTGTCTTTTATCAGCTGAACCTTCTGCAGTTCTTTTGCTCTGAATCAAACAGAACTACATACAACAGCACAAGTAAAAAGGGTTTTGCTGTACAAAAGTTATATTAAAAATACAAACATACACACACAATGGCACACTTTGCTTAGCAGTGAATGTAACAGACACATGAGCAGGCTTCAGAGCCGTTTTACACACATGCCTGTCCCACCCAGACTTGGAGAAAAATCAACAAAAAACTTAAACTAAAGGTGAAATGGTCAGGGCTTTTGGCTCAGTGCAAGCATTATGGCTTTGAAGGCTGCAATAAAAGGAAAACAGGCGGTGCACAGTAAAAACAACACATTTCATATATTCCAACGCAAACATCACGGGTTGCTCTCAGAGACTGCTCAACACTCTTACTGAGAACGATAAGTGCTGATAAACAACCAGCTCACTCTTTATGTTATCTCAAATTAAAAAACTGATTATCTGTTTGTTTTTTGTTGTCTTCATTACTCTGGTGATCTTTGAAAGCTGACAGCTTTGTGTTTGTGTGCACGACGCAGTCTGTCACCAAAAGCTGCTCACTTCTGTGCCACTCTTTAGGTCCTCTCTCAGCAGCAGATGCTGAAACTGGTGCATCACAGAGTGCATGAAGACAGAGGGGGAACTTGTGCACTTGTGTGTCGATACAGAAATCAGAAGAAACGTTTTGTGCAGGAATCGTTTTCTCGGCTTCAGGGTGCTCCCTCCAAGTCGGCAACACAAACGGACCCACAGGTAAATCCAGTCCTGGCTCTCGTCGGAGAGTCTCTGAAGTAGGCGTGAGCGTCTGGAGGGGAAAGCCGTCGAGCATTTGTGGAAAACGAGGACAGTCACTGTGTGTGTGGGCACACTGACAGAGGTGTAAAAGATTTCATGAACACACACAGAACACGGGCTCTTCATGAGCATGGGGAGGGCGAAGGAGAGTGAGACGTGTAAGTTTAATTCTTTGGGGCGTGACGGGCTGCTTCAGTATCAGTTCCTTTAGTCCAAACACACACCACAAACCCTCCTCCCATCTTTACGTGTGTGTATAACTTTGTGCAAATATTGTCTCTACAGTCAAACAAATGAAGAGAATCCTGTCACGGGGGTGCGGGACCCCGGTGGGTTAGTGTTGGGGTTGACGTGTGTGTGTGCAGGCTGCCCTGTGGGTGTGTACGCTCCACCTGTGCTGTGCTGAGTGACCACCGTCTGGTAGTAGGGCTCAGTGTCCGCCGTGGCACACTCCTCGTAGCCAAAAGGGGCCCCCACCCCTTTAAGGCCTTTGGGCTGCCGCTTCCACGAGTTGTAGTAGGTGGGGTCGCTCATGTAGTGGTTGACGAAGGAGTGCTTCGGCTGCTCGTCCTCGTAGTCGCTGTCCGTTAACTGGATGGAGACACAAACACAAGAGGGTCAGACGCTGATCAAAGGGACAGAAGGAAGGAACACCAACGTTCATGCTCAATAATCCAGAAAAAATCCAACAATGTTCAGTCAGGTCATCTGGACGGTTTCTTTTTAAGAAGATGCTTCTTACCAAGAAGGAAGGAATGTCCTACAAGGTCTGAAATGTATTTGCTACAAATCAGAGCCTTTACGTTGGTTTGACGGGCTGAGAAGTGAACAGCTGGGTCATTTCCAGCCCTAACCTACACGTGTTGTTTTTAATAAATGTTTATACATTTTTGAAACAATTTTTAGGAATTGCAATCAATCAATCAAAACAAACAAACAAACAAATAAACAAACAGCCACTAAGTCAACACAATCAGGGTATAAAATAAAACTTTATCCCAGACGTGACGTTGAGAAAACTGCTGCTCTGAGACAAGAAGCAGCTACAAACATCTTATAAATATTTTTTTAATTTTTTTTAACATCAGTAGAATCTAAAAAAGTTAAATCTGGTCCTCTGGACATTCAAAAAACAAAATAAAGCAAAACAAAAAAAAAAAAAGCAGAAAAGTTTCGTTTTCCATCCGAAAGACTTCCTCAGTTCCTCAGACTGAGGAAGTCTTTCACATGGAAAACGAAACTTTTCTACATTTTTTTTTTGTTTTGTTTTTTCTTTTTTAGATTTTTCTACCTGGATTATTGAGCATGCATCAGGACATCAGTCTAATGTTTTCATTTCCACACTTGTCTTCAGTTGCACGGACTCGGTTTGTAAAGTTTGTAAAGCCTTCATTTCAAATGGCAGCCTGTTCTCTCCAAAATGAACGTTGTTGACTTCAAAACGCCTCTTTGGTTGAACCACCATCATGTGTCTGTTCGTCTGTTAGCAAAATATTTCTTCATCCAGTGGATGGATTTTAATTAAGCTTTCAGGAAGTAGTCAGTTTGATGTTCATCTTGGTGTGAGAGTCATCCTCAACACATACTTTGAGCGGAAACTATTAACGCACAAGATCTTTGTTTAAAACTTAGCGTTCCATCAACAAATGCTACTTTTAGCGATACTTCATATGTCCTTAATATTAATATTTTTGTTTGTATTTTGAATGGAAACATAACACTTTATCTAACAACACTGAAAATTGCAGTTAGTCATTTTTTCCAAGTATTTTGACACGATAATCAGAGATCAATAACAGTGAGGTAAGCAGTGAGGGAAGTGAAATAAAGGTCTGAAGAGATCATCCTGTTTGCGTCTTGATAAACAAATGCAAGATCAACTCTAAACCTGGTATATTTTTTTATTCATTCAACCTTTATTTAAACAGATAAATCATATGGTTTTCTTTATGGTGCTGCAGTCTAAGCAAAATGTTTCAACATGACAAAAGGTGGCGTCCCACAGGGCTGCGGCTAGTTGGAAAACAGCACTCATAAGGGAGTCTCTAAAATGTTTTGTGATGTTCTGATGGTTCTCACTTTCCTTGAGATGTGCAAAGTCCTGATGCTAAACATGTTCAAACGGTTTGTGATTTGTTTTTGTCACAATAAATAACTACAAAGTTGATATGTGCATCTCCAGCTCTTCTCAAAAAAAATGCTAGCGCTGCATTTTAACACCTGCACATAAGCTCTCTCTGGCAGAAAACATGTCCAGGTCTCAAAACCAAACTAATAATAAATAACAGCTATTGAAAAAAAAAAAAAACTCATCCAAATCTGTTAGTCTTCATTTCTGAAGTGCACTTCAGTATATTCAATCATAAACATGGGGGTGGATGAAAAGTTGGGCAAAAAGAAAGCCGAGAGGTACGATGTGAAAAATGTGTATAGACAAGACTGCAGTTTTGCAAGTTGCAACAAAAAAAGGCTGTAGATTAAAAAAAACAAACTATTCAAGTTGTGGCAACTTGGCTGCTGGTTACATGGTCACAGACAGACTAAGGAAGCACTTCCAAATCTATTTTCCTCCAAAATGTTCTGTAATTTTGAGTCACCATCTAGTCTCCAACAGTAAGACACCACCTAAACTGTGGAGGAGAACCCAGGAAGTCTGTTGACAAAAACAGCAGCTAGATCTAACATTTGTTCGTCATAAGATTCTAAACTAATTCAGAAAATTAAGAACACTAAAATGATCAATACTAAATTCTACCGAATACAACACAGAGAGGAGTAAAACATACTTGACAGGAGATGTTAGAGACGAGAGGCAACAGATAAAAGACAGTAGACAGAGACAGGAGGTCACAGGTCAGGCTCAAACCAGCAGATGTTGGAAAGCCACATCAAGTTCATTTAACCACAAATTTGTCTCAGAGGAGAAAGAAGGACAGAGGCTTCTCTCCTTCTAGATAAGAAATAATCCATCATGACAACTTCAACAATCGGTTTTACAATAATTGAAGAGACTGGGCCAATATGATGCTGAAGTTAGTGATTCTTGATGTGTTCGAGCAGTTTTCAGTCTGGAGCCAGACGAGTGAAGACAGACAGAACAGGTACCTCTGACTCAGAGACCTCAGTGGGTTTCTCAGTGAGTGTGGTGCTCTCAGTGAGCACCGCTCCGTTATAGTTGTTGCAGATATCATCATCAGAGTAGTGAAGACCGCCCGGACTGGGCCTGGGGGGAGATCTGGACACATTCAGACAATAAATCTGTTATTACTGGATCAAGTCCAGACATTTGTTTGTGTTCGCATCAGAGAAGGAGCAAGTGCTCACCGGGTGCCGTTCTTTTTCAGAAAGGAGTTCTTGGTGTTGAGCGTTCTGCTGTTCAGCTCCAGAGCAGTGAAACCTCCGTTGTCCAGAGTCACGGACTCCTCCCCTGTGGTTGTGTGCTTGCCTGCAGAAAATACAAAAAGAAAAAGAAAATTGATGGAGTGGGTTCAAATAAACATTAAAACATTTGCAACAGTTTAGCACAACATTTTTCCAGACATTCATCTTCTCACTACATACAGTTAATTTGTAGTCTCCTGCTTATTTAGTGCATTCACTGAATCCTCTGAATAGGAAACAAATAGAAGTACTCTAAGTGGTAGGTGAAGTAATTAAACCTGCCAGCCAGTAACTAAATCCATCTTAATATCATCACTAAATAAATCAAAAAGAGAACAGAAATAAGCTGTTTGGAGCACAGCAAGGCTGCTTTTTTATTTTATTTTTTTGTGTGTTTATATTTGCACTTCACCCTCTCAGACACTCTCTGATCACTTCAATATCCAGAACTGGTGCCAGGTTTCTGTGGCAACTCAGACTAACAGCTGTCCTGAAAGAACCTGTGCTCGACACGACAAAAAATAACTGTTACCCACAACCTGCAACATCACAGACAACAAACGGAGGACAAAAGCCTCCACATAAGTTGACAGTGCTTCACACGTTTTACCAGTGATTGTTTGGCGTGAGCGCTGACGAGCTTTGACCTGAGAATAAGTATAAATTCAGGCATAGCATGGCAATAACTACATTTAAAATGGCTGTCAGTTATCATTAGGTCAAAAAACAAAAAACAAAAAATGATCTGAGCTAATATGTATTTATGAAAATATTAGGAATTAAGTTTTAAGCTACAATCATAAATATAAAATAATCTTTGGACTATATCACGTCTTTCGCATGTGAAGTGTATGAAATGACATTTCTAAAAAAAATAATGCCACTGCAGCATGGTAGCGCAGTGGGTAGAGCTGTGGCCTCTTAGCGAGAAAGTTGCTGGATTGAATCCCAGCAGGGTCCTTTCTGGGTGGAGTCCACATGCGCTCTATGTGCATGTGTGGGTTTCCTCCCACAGACCAGAAACATGCATGTTAGGCTGATTGGTAACCCTAAATTGTCCCTAGGTGTGAGTGAGAGAGTGAATGGTTGTTTGTCTCTATGTGTCCCTGTCCAGGGTGTCCCCCACCTCTCGCAAAGTGACTGCTGGATATGGGCACCAGCGGCACCCGTGATCCGAAAAGGAAGAATTGGGTAAAGATAACGGATGGATGAAGTGTGAGATGTGCTTGACTGCATCAGAAAATTAGGAGAAAATTGTACTGAATCTTTTAAGAGAATAATAAGACGGCCTGTTCACGCTGAGACAGACGACACAAATACACCACGAGAAACATTACTGTTTTAACTGAAGAGTAAAAGTGAAAAAAAGAAAAAAAAAAAAAAAAGAAATCATCAACGGCACAACTGTGATATCCTAGAAGCAAAATAAATGTAATGACTGAGGTTCAGACCTGTGCCGCATGCCTTGTACTTGGTGCTGTTTCCATGCAGCAGCAGAGTAAAGACCAGGACCAGAATGAGGATGAGTCCTACCAGCGCCATAACCAGCAGGAACCACCACTCTTCATAAAAGGGACGCTCTGACAACGCTACAGGCACAGAGAGACATATAGTAGGTTAGGAAAATATAAAGATTTATTCCAGTCCATCTTAATTTATATGGTTTCTATCAGTAGACCAGTATTCCTTTTGCATTTTGATTAGGCCTGACACGATAACAAATTTTGCTGGGCGATTAATTGTATCAGAAATTATTGCAATAAACGACAATATTGTTTGAAATTGGACAATAATTAGTAATTATTGTCAAATTTAAGAAGAAATGTTGGTTAATTTTTGCATGTAGTACCTTTTTTGACCACTGGATGGCAGTATAAGACTGTTCGAACTGAAGGATGGATAGTGAGGGAGTGAGCAGTGTGTCTCTTTAAGAAAAATGGGAGGGAGGCCCCTTCACGTGACATGGGCTGTGTTTGGTTCCATTTTTTCGGTTCTTAAAATGGCAGACGCTCGGTGTGGTTTGAGCTCTTTAGCATAGCATTTGTCACACGAAGTTTTTAATAATAAAAAAAAATCAGTAAACAAGTTCGCAGCTTCTTTTTTTTCAGAGAAAAACAACTTTTTACATGAAGGCACGGATTTCAACTGTAAATTTTGGAGCTTCGACAAGACAGAGGTTTTTTCCTGAGGTCTGCCTGTTAGCTTAACTCGTAGCTTCACTTCTTAGCTTATCTGCTTTTAGCGTCCAAAAATGCGATTTTAGATGATTAAAACAGATTTTAAAGAAAAGACAAAAAAGAGAAAGGGAGGGGTCAGTGAAGAGCGCCAGAGTTGAGCCTTTTTGTCATTCAGTGTCTTCAGTAGAAAGAGAGACAAAGAAATGATAAAGCCGATAAATGAAAATGAGTTTAATAATTTTAATTTATCACGCGATTAACTGATTATTGTTTATCACGACAGGCCTAATTTTGAACATTTATTCTATAGTTGAGAAGGTGGACATCTCTGGACTTATTCTTTGAAATAAAATTGACTAATTCCTCAATTTATAAGATGAGCTGGATAAATGTATAAACGCAGTTTGCAATGAAAAAATAATACTGTTGCACATCTGATGGTAAACTAAAAGAGTTTATGCTGTTTGTTTAGTAAGGTTTGTTGCAGTTCTGCTCTCTGCCTTCAGGTGGCAGCACATAACCATCTCATCAACTTTCTGCAGCACACTCCATCCAACATACAGAATCTTCTGTCAGAGAAGGTGAGCTTCTTACATCAGCATGCACTCCATCATTGTGTGTGCGTGTGCATTTACCAGCAAGAGCCACAGATGGTGTACTTGACTGTCCGTAACCATAGCGATTAACAGCGATGACTCTGAACTCGTAGCTGATCCCTGACCTCAGACGCTCCAGCGGCACAGAAACAGACCTGCTGCTGGGAGGGAGATGCCGGAGGAAGGAGTCCCACACTCCCTCATCTGCAGACAAGACAACTAGAGAATGAGTCCCTTTTAAATGTGCGTAAGGAAAATTATACATTGCCAAATTACATCCAAGGTGGTAATGATATTGTGTTGATGACAATGATCACTGTTATCATTCTAATGAAAGAGGTTTATTCTTTGTTAGCTGTTGAACGATTACATTACAGTCGCCGCACGCTCTTCTGCAGGGTGGTAAAACAATTTCTTTCCCTGTATTACACATCTTGTAATCTTTATTAGAAAATTGTGCCTGACTTAATTTGCACAGCAGGTAATAATGAATCCACAGAGACCTGTGCTTAGAACGGTTTAGTGCAAGGAGCTCAAAGATTTAGCACTGACAATAAAAACGTGAACATCTGGTAGGTTATATATGACCTGTGTGGGGTGTAAGAGAATTCACCTGAGGCACGGGCCTCAATAACATATCCAGTCACAGGAGCAGCACCAGTATCTCCCTCTGACCACTGGATGTTTAAGTCAGAGGACGTCTTGGTGATGGACATTTCCGCAGGTGATCCAGGAGTTCCTTTAATAACAGAGGGATACAGTCACACAATTTTAGATTTCAACTGGGCACAGTCCTGATTTACTGTTGCTTTCTTGAAAATTTACTTTGAGATCACAAATGTAAAAACATAATCCCTTCCTTAAAGGAGCTGTTTAACATTTAAAAACATGAAAGCTCTGACTTTTAATCAAGCTATAAGAGGATCTAAGTTGATCTTTGTGGTTTCATCAATCACAAACTGTAACTGAAAATTTGTTGCTTTCCATTTATGACACCAGAGGTTGTTCAGCTGGTATTTGACCTGAACATTAATGATCCAAATACGATCACACCTTAACCTAACCCTTGTTACAAACTGTAATCTAGATCTGAAAAGATTATAAGGATCTAAAAAAAAAAAAACTATATAGGAAATAAATTTGACTTTTATTTCTAAAAATGTGATTTGTTTGGTGGTTACAGTGGTTCCCATGTACAGTATTTACTACACCTACTGTTCGTTCAACTTTAATAAAGTAACATTTACAAGGATAAATCAGAATGGGCTAAGTGGTTAGAAGCTTATGAACAATTATTTTCTTACTTGTTTTTGAAAGCTCTTTGAACGAGTTCAGCTTGGAGTAACAGAGTTTAAATTTGACCTGACTGACATGCTAAAGGCCAGTCTGCCTGGGACAAGACTAATAAGGATTCTGCTGCGATAAAACAACTAATTTCAAAAATGTCACAAAGGTTCAAGGAAGTTTTAAAAACTCCACTGTCAGTTTGGCATCATAGAATTATTCTGGGAGAAATATTAAATATTTCCACTAGATATACTCCAGGCTACACTGGAAGTGATACAGCTAGCTGCTGCTGCTTTTTTCTCTGGCAAATAACCATAACATTCTGTAAAAATCACCACTCAATGTGAAACTGACTGTCATGTAAAAGTTTATAAAATACTTTTTGTATGAGCCGCTATCAAACCTTTGATATTGGAGCTATTTGAAGATGGCAGCACGGGCCTTGGACTCACTTGGACTAACGGTTAGCTTACCGGTCTGGTTAGAATTTCTCCAAACTGAGGCCATTCAAAGACCTACCAATAACAGGTAAGACATTTACTGTTGATAACCTTTCCAGTGAACTATTGCTGATATGTTATGGAGTGTTGCTCACACAACAAAATTTGTAGAAATAATTCTACGGATTCTTTAGATTTCAATTTTTTTTTTTGTGGAAATTATTAGACATATAAAAAAAAAACACACACACACACACACACACACACAAGACAGCATAAGCATCACTTCAAACTAAACAATTATTTGATTAACAAAGAGAACATATAGTCTACTGGGTCTACCTTTCACAGGCTGAGCGGTGATGTTTGCCTGTATTGGTGGTCCGTAGCTCACTGTGAGAGCCTGGATACTAAAAGTGTATGTTGCTCCTTTGATCAGGTCTCGAACCTTCAGCCATCGCTGCCAGCTCCCCTTCACATCCACCGTCACCACTTTACTCACTCCTGCAGATAATTAAGGCAAATATATTTTAACAACCAGCATCATTATACGTGCGTGAATGGATGTGTGTGTACCTTGAACAGGAGCTGTAGGTTGATAGATGGCCCTGTAGCCTTCCACTTGTCCGTTGGGAGTGAGTGGAGCTCCCCAGGAGACGTTGACGCTCCCCCCCGTCACTTCAGAGAAGGACAGGTAGCTCGGCTGGCTAGGAGCTGCAGACACATAAGATGAATCGAGGAGATTAGAAACATCTTATCCGTGTTTGTTTGGGCTAAGGGGACTGAACTGTCTCCATTTCCTACCAGACTGCAGGGTTCGAGCCCCACGGGGGTCACTGGGCGGTCCATCACCAGCGGTGTTGAAGGCAGTCAGTGTGACCAGATAAGATGAGTAGCTGCTCAGGTTTGTGAGGTGCACACGGGTGTCTGGAACAAAAATCACCTTCACCTTCTCCGTCTGGTTCTGCTTGTCATTTTCCCAGTAGTGGATCTACAACACAACCAAAACACAAACTTCACTAATGATTCAGTTCCTCTCCTCTGCTCCAGAGGTTTTTTAATTATTGCACCAAAACACACTTTTTGAAGCTGTTTTACAAGTTATTTAGGAGTGTTTAAGTTCCTCCTGCTAATACCACTCAAGTCTTGAAGTACTTTTTCATACTGAGATATTTTAAAGTTCAACACAGCTTAATGTAGAGCAGTCCTTCTCAAATAGTGGGGCGCGCCCCCCTTGGGGGTGGGGGGGAGCAATGCCAGGGGGGGCGCCTGTGAACCTGTGGAACATTTTGCGGCAGGGAGGTTTTTCTCTCTCTCACCATTTTCATTTTGTCAGGGTGCGTTCTACAACTGTTTGCTAAAATCCAGCAACTCTCAGGTTTAATAATAACGTTATGAACAAATATGGCTGTCTTGTCGTTTGGGGAGCCATGCTTGAACCGTGTCGCTTTCCTCTGCTGCTGAGAAACTCAGACACCTCTTCAGCCAGTGACGCTTGTCACCCACAGCACGCATGTGACAGAGTGTAAACTCAAAGCGATAGCGTTACCTGCCCCTCTTCCTCTTTAACAATTTTTTTTGTTGTTGATTTTAGTTCGTCAAAGCACAATTTTTATATTTTTTATATAAAGAAGTAATGTTTAATAAATGTTAGGACTCTATTCTTTGCTAACAAGTCCTCTGCTCTGGATGCATTTCACTCACAGCACGCAGCAACAAAGAGTATAAACTCAAAGCGAGAGCGACACCTGCCCCCTCTTTCTTCTTTTGCGTTGACAACATTTTTTAGTTTTATCGATTGTCAAAGCACTTTTTTTTTGTTGTTGTTGTTGTAAAAAACAGATGTTTAACAAATGTTAGGACTCTATTCTTTGCTAACAAAATATATTTTATGTCATTAAACAACTTGTCAGGTTCTTCTCTTGTGAGTGCGTTCCCCTGGACCCCCCCACAGCCAGCCCGCTCGCTCTTGCTCTCTTTGCGACTTCTCTGCTGTTGCTGCTCTGAAGACCAAGTCCAGGTCCAGCTAAACATTGAGCAGGAGCTGAGAGCTGCAAGATTATGCGTCAAACTCCACTTCAAAAAGCTGTGCACTGCAAAACGTGCTCATTGTAGCCATTAATCCTGACTTCCTCATTTTGATTAAAAAAAACAAAACAAAAAAAACAAAAACAGCACCAATTACTTTATTCATTTTTATTTTGTAAGTCAAAGTGTTTTATAAAACACTCCTGACTTAAAATGTTGCTGATCAATTTGAATTTATTATTATTTATTGATTGTATTCAATTTGATTTTCCAGTATCAAATGGTCAAACATGTTTACAGTTTAAATAAGGATAGATTTTTTTTTTTCAGGCAAACTGATGCACTTTAATCCTTTTCCTTTACAGACTATAACACAATGTTAATAATCTTTGTTGTAAGTTGATCTATCTTTCTTTCTTTTTTTTATTTAATGTTAATAAGGACACAATGTTATGTAGAGGTGTACTTATAACAATATTATAGACAAATGATACTATTTACAGTAGCGGCGGAGAGTTGGAGGGGCGTGAAATGTTTACTTCTTCCTGGAGGGGCGTAAAAGAAAATAATTGAGAAGCACTGATGTAGCGGTAGTTTGAGCCATCATTATAGGGTGAATGTCTCTAAAAGAAGCAGTATGACGGGGTTTGAGAGAACACTTCTTTAAATATGTAGGAGCGTGTCAAACCTTTGGGTGCTCTGAGAGCCGGAGATGAGCTCAAAGTAGCATTGAGATGATAGATCTTTTTCAGGAAAGATGAAAATAAAACAAGGAAGCTGACACTTATATAAACTATGAAAGAGCACAACCACCACTGAACTGCTGACCCCGAATGAAACACTACCTCCATCAAACATTCAGGTGTTGTTTGTGTTTCTTCCAGATAGATCCGCGGCTTGTTATACCATCACATTGTTTTATTTTTTTACTTTTATTTTCTCAACACAAACTGAATTATTATCACCTGCCACCAAATTCAAAATAGCAATAATGCTTTTGGTCTGTGTCTGGTTGTCTTCCATGTTAGCAAAATATGGTTCTAAACCACTGAATGGATTTTAATGAAACTTTCTGGGTAAAAATTGGATGTAAATAAGTCAACCCAATTCAAGATGGATGCCACAGACAACTGACTTTAGAAAGTACAATAATGGCTACAACTCAGACAAATTTTTAGATATTGAGCTCAAGCTTGATGTGGCAGTAGCTGAGAGTCATCCTCTATACATACTCTGAGTGCTAACAAATCGCTCAAGATCTGGCAATGTCATGTGACATTAAACATACCATTTACAAGGTTTGACCAAAACAGCTATAATGCTGTTACTTCTCATCATTAGAGGGTCTTAGTTCAAAACTTTCATAAAAGGTAGTGGGTGATATGCATTCCTTCAACGAATGCTAGGCCTTTCATTGTTTATAAGTATCTGTCTTTATCACCACTACTCATCATATTCTTTGTTCCTCTGCAATACCATCATCGTTCAGGCAGAATGGACAGTTTTTGTTTCCATGCAAGAACTTGAGTCCATACAGTATTTCTATGAATATTACTATTGTATGAGTAAATCTGGATTGGACGAGATATTAGACTGGTACAGAATAGGTATGAGGACAGCAGGACAGTGGTGAGATGTGCTGTAGGGAGTGACAGATGGCTTCAAGGTGGAGGTGGGATTGCACCAAGATTGGCTCTGAGCCCCTTCTTGTTTGCTCTGGTGATGGACCGACTAACAGATTCAATTCAGTTTATTTATATAGCGCCAAGTCACAACAGAAGTCACCTCAGGGCACTGAACAGAGAGATGAGGCCAGGCAGGAATCCTGACCTGCAAACTATGATGTTTGCAGATGACATTGTGATCTGTGGTGAGAACAGACAACAGGTGGAAGAGAACTTAGAGAGGTGGAGGGATGCACTTGAAGAGGAATGAAAGTCAGCCCTAGTAAGACAGAGTGCATGTGTGTGAATGGGAGGGAGGCTGGTGGAACAGTGAGGCTACAAGAAGCAGAGGTCACAAAGGTGCAGGACTTCTAAGTACAACAAGGTCAACTGTCCATGAAAATGGGAAATGGATGGAGAAAAGTTTCAGCAGTGATTTGCGACAAAAGAGTGTCAGCAAAGGTCAAAAAAGGTGACAAGACAGTGGTGAGAACAGTTATGTTGGATGCTCTACATATGTTGTATGTATACTATATTCTATTGCAAGACTGAATGCATGTGTAACATTGTTTTTTTTTTTATTATTATCAAAGACCAGAAAGAGATTGTTTCATTGTAAACTAATAATGCACTTCATTACAAGAGAACTTAAATAAAAAAAGTCAAAAGGTAGAGACATTAATATAATAGTTTAATATACAATATACTAGTTCATGTAATATTCAGGATTCTGTAACATAAAGATAATTACTTTTGTCCTCCTTTTTTAACCGACAGACAGCTACTGTATAAGAGACTTGGGCCACTGTGTCACCAGATCACCTTTATCACACCTTATGGCACTGATCCTACAAGTCCACAGTTAGAATGGGCCACCAGAATGTTTCAAAGATTGTAGTAAAATTTGATGATCTGATGATGGAATTTTGTAATTTACGGAAGTTCCTAATTGGGTGTATTTTATTTTCTGAAAGCATGTTTTTTACTTAAAATACAATTCCTTAAAAATAGACAATTCTGTGTTAGGAGCATAAACATGTGGAACTAAATTGACCAATCTTAACCTAAAAATATGTGGTGTTAGCTGATAGATGAACAAATGTAAACCAATTTTTTCTGGCCCAGATAAGGAGATTTAGAGAATTGTTATAAAGATGTACAGCACATCCACTTCCAGCTCCTTATATCTGCAGACTGTAAATGCTAATGTGCGAATTAATCAATAATCTTTAATGTGACAAATAGATTTTATGACATTGTCCAGTAATGAAGATACATGGATTAATTTGGCTGATCCCTGTAACATGAAGTGGAATAAAGGTTATAGGATTATTGTCCGCTGTGTGATTAGATCATTATTATTATTAAAGACTTACAGCTTGTAGCTTATGTCATGTGAATGTCACACTCTAATGAGGCCACAGCTTTTATCTATCTGTTGTAATTCAGCCTTACAGTCTCACAAGAAAATAGCACAATGTAGAGCACATCAACCTGCATTTGGACTAATTAGAAGTAGAGAAACAATATTTTGTTATCAATAGGGAAAAATAATGTGGTATTTCCCTGTGCAGTGTGATAATTAGTAACCTAAAGCCAAACATATATATTTTTTAAATTAGTAAAATAATGAACACAACACAAATTCCCTGCTCCCAGGATTGATTTTCATGACTCTGTAAGAGGCGCTGAACACATAAATGAGAAATATCTGACTGGACGTTAACCAGAAAAACAAACAAACAAACATAAAACAATGAAACAATCTGGTAATGACAGACAACAGTGAAAAGAAAGTTACCAATTAGCTGTCAACTTGAACCTTTCACAGGTACAAAGTATTTTGTATCCACATCGATAAAAATTGTATCATTTAAAACTGATTATTGCAAAATATGTGTTAGTATTATCCATACTGTGGGCCAAGTTTGACATTATATATTTTAGTAAAGTTTCCTTTGGCTATCCCAACAACTTAAAAACATATACAGTCACAAATCAAAACCTGTTCAGTGTTTTAAAAGAACTTCCCTACTCATAATGTGAAAGTAAAAAGTGTTCAACTAAACACTCTTGTGATGTATATTCACATGTTCTGTACATGTAAATATACAGAACCTGATTTAATAAATCTAAGTCAGGTCATCTGGACAGTTTCTTTTTTGATGTTGAAACGTTTTGTCCTTCATCCAAAGGATTTCGTCAGACCAAGGAGCCACAACAAACTCAGTCCCACTGAACTAATTGCCCCTCGGAGATAGTAAAGATAATTGAACTTGAACCACAAGTAGCACACTCCCATAGTGGACCAACTAGTTTGCTGGTGATAAGATGGTTTCTGGAGCCCACCCTCTCCCCCATCGACTCCTCTGAGACAGCCATAGCCAAAGTGGTTCAAAACATCAAAGTTCATGCTCAATAATCCAGGTGAAAAATCCAGCAACGTTAAGTCAGGTCATCTGGACTTTTTTTGTTGTTGTTGTTGAAATGTTTCATCCTTCATCCAAAGGACTTCATCAGTCCGAGGAGCCACAACAAACTCAGTCCCACAAGAAGCACTCACACATAGTGGGCCAACTATGTGACTTTCAGACTGACAAAGTCCTTTGGATGAAAGACGAAATGTTTCAGCATATAAAAAAATAAAAATAAATTAATAAGAAACCGTTCAGATGACTGGATTGAATGACTTAACTTTGTTGGACATTTTACCTGGATTATTAGCATCATCTCTGACTTGAAGATTTAGTCGCAAACTATTTTCTTTCACACTAGGCCATAAATTTCAGTAAAATGTTTTTAGTCATATGTCTTCTGATTTTTGTGCAGAGGAAAAGCTATAAAAACATCTCAACTGCCAAGATTTATCTTTATATAGGTATATACTGTATATACTATACAAAGTACATACATACATACATATATATAATGTATATACATGTATATACATTATACATATTCATAAAGTAGCTTCTACAAATTTTGAGCTAAAATGCTTGTACGATTATACCGTAAATAGAATTAAAGACTTAGCAGTACTTAGGCGAACACATAGCCCAGTCTTTGACGCCAGAGTTTTAGATTATGATCATTCTATGTTGAGACGACAGAGCTGTAGCTGTTTGGGCCATCTTACATACCACCACATCAAACTTGAGCTCAGTATCTGTAAAACTGACTGAGTTTGAGCCAATTTTGACAGATACACACACAGGCACAGGCAAAAACATAATCATCTGCCTTTGCCTTCTTGCGGGGGGCAATAAATTGAACACAGTGTACTCTACATATGGATGTGTGCAACTGCAGCATGTTTTTGTTAAACATCTTAAAATAATTAACTGCCCATGTTTCTAATCACGCAGCACACGGCTCCTCGGCTAATCTGTAATCAGATGGTGATGCTGTGACCTTTTTAGAGCAGAGGGACTGATCTCTGAGCAGCTTGCTGTCTGTTGGTTTGAATGTGGAAGAAATGAGGAACATTAAGACGGACTCCAAGTTGTACATCACTATTAATGTAGACCATTACTTCCTTATGTTTTCAGGCATCAAAAGAGATGAAAAACAGAATAACTTTCATTCTACAATTATCAATTCTAATAGTAAAATAAACAGATTAATTTAAAAATAAATATAATTGTGGCCACTAAAACATAAAAAGTACATTCATGGATGTGCTTTTGGCAATGCACGCACAGTGTTCAAAGTTTCCTCAACCACAACGAGCCAGTGCAGTTAAAAAAAATAAAACAGCAGCCACGTGTCACACAAAAGGGGTTCATTTTCTTATTATTCTGAATAGATAGCACCTCTGAGCACCATAAGCCATATTTACAGCTTCCAGGGCTGAACGTAGCAGCTTCTCAGTAGCACTTGAGGGCAGCATTATCCCATATCTGTCATTCCACGAGCTCTTACTATAATGAGGTACACAATAACTCATTCATTGGATCAGTTTAGATCAAAACGTATTAACTTCTGCATTTTTTTTTTCCACTTCTGAAGTTCTATTCTAGAAAAAAAAATACTTTTTGTGTTACTTGATGGCTTAGTAAAACATAATCCTGGTCATTTTGTAATCCACTTTTCTGTTGTTTAATGGATCAGCTTTTATAGATGGTGAGGATTATTGAAAAAGCAATTTGAAGATGTCATGAGGAAACATACACAGCATTTTTTGTGAAGAGAGAAAAAAAAAGAAAGACAAAATGTTCTCTTGAAAAACAATAGGCATGTCTGGAAACAATTAAAAAGAAACATTGAATCATTTTCAGACTTGTTTATCTTCTAATCTCTGGTAGTACAATAACTATTTTGTAGCATTTTGCAGTGTGCAGCCTTTCACAGCTCTAATGTGTGAGTTGATCCTGTTGGACTAACATAGTTTCTACCCCTTACCTCAAGTGTGTTGTGTTGCAAATTTGGAAGTACCAGTGACTTTTAATGGCGCTGTGGAGTTTTACTCTATGTCGTGTTGCCTGTGCAATCAATGCAAACATAAAATGTTAAGAGAAGTCAGAACCTATTCATTCAATTAATATTCTTTCTTTGCTTTTGCTCATTTTCATCTCCTTAACCCCCATTCTCTGACATATCTGTCCGTCTCTGTTAGTGTAAATACAGTCCTTCCATGTTTTCCTCTAATCTATGGAGATCACTTGCACGGCTCCATCCTTTGTTCTGTAAATACTTCAGATACTTTGTTATTTTATTCCCAACTCTAGTGAAAACTTTTGTGTCAAATGCAAGACATTTCACCTTGCGGTTGAAGCACTAACAGTGAGTGCTGGACAGAAGAACAAATGAAAATAGGCAGAGAAATGATAGAGAAACCATTAAAAGTTATTCAAATTCGTCCTCTGCTTTAATTATTTCTTGGATGTCTATAGGACGTTTAAAGATACAACAGAGCTGAACCCCTCAAAGACAAGTGCAAACGCATTTAAATGAAAGACTCATGGAATGTAGCTTGCTTGATGTGGACACTCTCACACACATATCTGAATGTGTTGAGTCCTCTTTGTCTGTCCCCTGGAAGGTAGATGTATTCTTTATGTGTATGTATGCTTGTGCTTGTTTTCCTGAGAGTCACCTTGTATCCTTGGATGAGTCCATTCTGGGTCTCAAGGGGCGGCATGTCCCAGGTCACTTTCAAGCTGGAGGGAGACACGGCTGACACTTGGATAGACTGAGGCGCCACCGATGGAGCTGCAGCAGGCGAGAGAGATTCCAGTTACTGCGAGTGTTCAGCTGCATGCTAAAGAACGGTAAGTAAGAAAAATATGTTCTACCCCTCCAATTAGATTGGGCCTAAGGCAGTACCTTGTTACTCCACTGTACCGCACATAAGCATGAACACTCAGCGGTGTGCACCTGAGGCTGGAGAACAGTCCATATCACCCCATTTCATCATTCCCCTCTAGGCTTTTCTGACTACCCCTCCCTTTCACTTCCGAGTATGTGATGTGTATGGCCTACTAAGCTCTACACACACATGCACACACAAACAGAACCGATACAAACATGACACTGTTGAGTGAAACTTTTAATAAAATAACATGTACATATTTTCACCTGCCTTCTTGTTTGTGGTTTACATCAGCCTTGTTCTTGTTACTGTGTGTGTGTGTGTGTGTGTGTGTGTGTGTGTGTGTGTGTGTGTGTGTGTGTGTGTGTGTGTGTGTGTGTGTGTGGAGAGTAAAAAAGGTGGCTGTATTTGCACTCATGTCTGTCTAATGGATTCACGGTTTGACTTTCCAGTGAAAGTGAAAGAGAGATTAGGCCATCACTACAAAACAGATGACCTTGTGCCGTATTTCAGATGTGTATGCATGCAGGCACACACATACACACGCACACACACACACACACACACACACACACACACACACACA